TTTTTGTTTATGGCCTTCCATAGTTTACAAAAGAAAGGTATATACTTGAAAACTCAAGTTTAAGGAATGTTCCAATTGTTTCCTTCAAAGGATGCTCCATTGGACGATTGTTAGAGGACTTGGGAAGACAAATGTTTCAAGGGAGTCAGAAGTTTCTAGATTTTTTTTATGACCGATTGAGACAAAAGTGAACTGTTTGTATCAAAATCTTTGGGAAATGTGGTGAAAATTTTTGAGAATTAAAATTCCAAAACAACTAAGACAAGAATAGTGACTCCTTCTTTGTGGGGTGGGGGAGGCTGCATCACGCCAATGGTTTTTTATGAGAAAAACAAAATTATAGATTACTCTGATTTTGATTATTGTTTTCTTTTTCTTTACCCAGAACACCGGCAATCCCACTTTGGACTTCATGGCAGTTCCTCCGGGGATCTTAGCTTTAGACTGTATGTACTACTTTGCCACCTCACACAACGAGAGCTACACCAAGGTAAATAAGCCACAGTGCTTATTTTGAACACCTTTAAAGATATAGTCCATCATTTGTAATTTGTGCATTTTGTTCATTTGAAGTAACAAAAGTGTTCAAAATTTAATGAAGGATACTGATGAAGTTTCAGCTCAGCTTCAGCTGTACGGTACATTCCGAGAAAAAACAGCATTCTAGGATCTCAATTTCAAATCTAAAGTTGCTGAATCATGTTTTGAATTGTTTTGAATTGCAGCTGTACACGATGTCGCGCACTGATCCGAAGAATTATAGAGGGCGCGCACGTGTGGGTCGTGCCAATGCTTGCGCGTGCTTCGCCGAATAACAAAACGAACTACTAATTTAAATTTCCTACGGTGCGTCTTAAGACGCACCGTTGGAAAGGCCTTCTTTCGTTATTTACTTCAAAATGACAGCTTGCCAGAAAGAATAATTTCACAGGGAGTTTAGTCCACTTACTATCTTTCAACCAGGTATGTTTTCCAACAATAATTACGCCAGTTACTTTTCGGATGGCTGCAAATGATGGACTATAGCTTTAAGATGAGTTGAAACCTTTTAGATCTGTTTGCATGGGGTAATGTCATCACAAATTGCCAATAGAGGGCTCTCTCACTGACCCACGTGACCCAGGCTACATCCGGGTACTGGAAACTCAGCGTCGCCATTGTAGTAGGCAAAGATCGTGTGTAGCGCCGCTGCAGTAGGTAGTAGGCAAGCCTTCAAAGCTGTGATGGGTGGCAAAAACTGTGAGAAAACAAAACACGGAGCCAGCACCCAGTGCTAGCACCCAGTGCTGGGTTGGCACAATTAAGACAACCGTACTAGGCAAAGGTAGTGACCATTATGTCATTTGATAACAAAGTTGTTGTAATTTTACGTGAATAAACCCTACTGTCTAGTGCTAGCCAAATGCTGGCCGATCATGTGGAAACGGGATGGTCACGTGGTACCTTGTGACGTCATACCATTGGAACCTTTGGTTTATTACAAGGGGCACTGAAATAGCCAGATATTTCTCAAGAACAAGTTAAGGGGGGATTTGCGTTGAACATCACCGGACACCAGGTTGTGCTGTTCATAGTGGTCTTTTCGCTGACACGATTTGGCAACAAAGATGATAATGGAGGACATCACCCAATCACACAGTAGCAGTGCTCTGTAGGACAAATACATATACTAAATTTCAGTAGTTGTGACTGGTTCAGATTTTACTTATACAGCTGACCCTGGCAAAACAGATTATGGAGCGTGGATAGGTCATCTGTACTTGAAAAGAACAGGTCTGGGGTTAGAATCCCAACCGGAAAAAAAACAAAAGGCTCAGAGATTGTGCCCCACATTAGTGAAGGGCAGTAATTAAAATTAAGACTAACATTAGAAATTGTTTTCTTTGTTTATTAGGTGGTCTTGGAGAATTCTTGCCGGGCTGATGAGCACGAGTGTCCGTTTGCTAGAACCAGCATTGCACTGACTAGGATCCTGTGTGAGATCTTGAAAGTTGGCGAAGCACGTAAGCAAAAAAGAAAAATCCATTTCGAAATCTTCCTTATCGTAGATTGACTCTACTTGCGTGAATGATGAATGATTCGATGGTAGCGTGTTTCTGAGATTTTTCTTGATGGTCGTTTTCAGCAATAGGTCCCGATCACCAAAACACCATTTTCTATTACTTTTTGAATTTTGATTTATTTTCGCTTCAATATTGTTTGGGTTGTAAGAAATGTGCATTGTTGTTAAGCCAGCTGCAATTCTCATACATTTGAATAAACATATGACTGTGAGAAATCAGTGAATTAAAAAGTTATAAGCCACTGATAACAGTGAGCTATATAAAAAGACTTAAGTTTAAAAAAGAATGTTTAACCCAAACTCACTTTTTAAATGTTCTCAGGAGCCTAATCGCACATTTTTTGTACTCTCATAGGGGCATTGCGGCTTGACTCTACCATCCTAAATCCTACAAATTCCTCCCAAACGTCATGATGGAGTTTGAAGGATCTTGAGACACTAGGGTTCATCCTATAATCAAACATTTTCATCTCATTTTGTAATAAAATTTTTCTCTCTGTTTTTCTTTCCTAATAGCTACTGAGACTGGACAAGACTACTTTCCAATGTTCTTCTCCTGCGACAACGCCTTCAAGGAGTTCTTCTGCCAGTGCATCCGACTCTTCAACAGAACTTGGAAGGAGATGAGAGCTGAGCTTGAGGACTTCCCTAAGGTACGGACTTAGTAAATGAACATTAGAGGGCGCTTTATGACCCCTCACCAGAGCTCCGTAATAATAACAACAACAGTCTTGTAGAACGTTGAAAGAGTGCCGAAAGCGCTCATGGCGCTTGCTCAAAACATTACTTGCTGCTTCAACTGACCAGATGAACTCAACAATGTCAAAATGTCGCAGAGCGCACACTACGTGTGGTCTGCACACAAATGTTACAAGTATGCTCATCTATTTTGTGCTTGACTCAGAGGGCCGGCCTACTGTCTTTAGTAGTGGAGTGCTGTGGCCTCGTGGTCTGGAGCATTGAATTCGTGGTTTACAGGTTATTCTGCAGGTTGTGGGTTCGAGTCCAGCCTGGGGTTGTGGTGCGTGTGCCCTTAGGCAAGACACTTTGTCACTCGTTGAATGTCTGAATACTATCTAAATTTGGCCGTGTCTGAATTACTTGGCTACGGCTTAGATACACTTGTATCTATGGTAGCGGCTGACATGGCTATATTAAGGCAGTGTTCAGACATTCAGATTTACCCGTTGGCTTTTCTCGATTGTAGGTCATGAGCGTGGTCAAGGAGCAGATAGAGAGATCGCTCTTGGCCCGTCCTCCTTCCATGGATCAGTTCTGGTCCAAGCTGCAGTACTTTGACTACCAGATGATCATGAAATTACGGCAGCAGGAACGCTCTGATAAGGAGGAATGGAACTCACAGGCCACGCCCGTTGTGTCAGTATATGTTTATTCGTATGATTGTTTTCGGGATTGTTGATTCATATGGTTACGTCAGTCTCACTTACCGAATGCTGATTGTGGAAGGGGCGGATCATGAAGGGTGAGGGGGGGGGGGCTGTTATGCACAAAGAAAATATTTCCAATTTTTTAAAAAAATTTTCCCTTGGATTTGGTTAGCTATTATTCATTTCTGGAGGACACTGTTTACTGAGCATTCGTTCCCCCCCCCCCCCAAAAAAATTAAAAAAACACACACAAAGCTCAGTTCGTACTCCATGGAAATTTCAGATTGAAAACAATTTGTTAGAGTAATGATGAACAGAGAGACGTAAATTTATGACATGAAATGTTCTTCACGGTCACTTTTACCTTGAAGTATTAAAGGCATATAGGATCGTTTGCTGTTCATGCATTTTGTTTATTTCCTATAATAACACCACTCAAAATCCAAAGAAAAATGTTCAAAACCTAACCTGTTGGAGTTTCAGCTCAGAAGAGAAAATAGTGAAACATTTGCACAACCGTTTATTAATCACGAAACACGATTTCCCCAATGGCACTCTTCATTTCCAAAAATCAGTCAAGTGACTGATTGTTGGAAATCACCTACATTTCTTGATTTCTTCTAAATGACAGCAAGCCAGACGGCATATTTTCAAGGGGTGTTTAGTAGTACCAGTACTATCTTTAATCCAAGTAAAGTATTTGATAATAATTTGGTAGGTGACGTTTGGGATAAATGCAAATGGGCTTTTTGCGGCAAAAATAAATATTTGATTTTTAAATTTTTTGGTCACATTTCAGGGAACTGCGTGAAGAGATCAAGCCCGAGATTGTGGATCTGATCAAGCAACAGAGACTGAACTTTCTCATCAAGGGGACGCAGTACAACAAGTACAACAAAGCGGGAAGGGCAAAAGGTACAAGAATCTTTGGAACCGACTCCAGAGGGATTCGAACCTACAACCTGCAGAACCTGTCATACCTGTTATCAACTAATCAAGATATTTAGCTTTATGTTAGCTTGGCCCTGTCCATTTCATTTAGCTTTTTGAAGTTTAAAGTTTCTCCTTTTTAAAATTTTTATATTTCTTTAAACAGAACTAGAAAGGATCCTTTTTTTGCTGCGGCATAGCAGCTCAACAAATATCATGTCTGTCCGTTAGTCTGTTAGTAACATTGACATTGTCTATTGGCCCTACATATTTTGACTGATTTCAACCAAACTTTGTCAAAAGTATCAGTAGCCCAGCCCCAACATGTCACATGACCAAACTGGGGTCAAAGGTCTTCATGGGGTCACTGGGGTCAAAAACCTGATTGTTTTGAAACTAAAAACACAACTCCTTCCGGAAATTACATGGCACAATCATGTGAATCATGCATGAACACGAATTCGTTGGCCCGCAGCTTCCGAGATATTTCTGATCGAGCTTGTTCTCTATTGTGGACATTTGGACCCTCGGATTATATGCTTTTGTTTTTGGTTGCATTTGCGCCCATTATGCAAACAAGATTTCCTGGATTATTGTTGGACCACAAATAATTCAAAATTGTACAGTAAATATTCCGTAACAAAACGGGGGCGGATGTTTGATGTCGCAATCAAAAGTGAATAACTATTGCATTGCTGGAAAAATAGCACTTTAAAAACAAAATCTGTTTTTCGTGGTGAAATAGCATGTAGAAAGCAACTTTAATATAAACGTAATTAATAATCAATGGAAATTCTGTGCATTTTAAATATGGATTACAAATTTCTGTTTTTTCCTCGTAGACAAGTTTTGGTATTGTCGTCTGTCTCCCAATCATAAGATGCTTCACTATGGGGACATTGATGAGAACACGGTGCCGGCTACGGAGTCACTCCAAAACAAACGTAAGATATCAAAACCATTCCAAACCTTGCAACATACAAGACTTACTGATTTCATAAGAAAATGTGGCTTCACTCAGAAATAGAAATGCGCATAGGGATTGTGGACGTTGTCAAAGTTATAACCAAAGCAAATTGTCTTCTTCTTTTTTCTTCTTTAGTTCCAGTTGCGGAAATCCAAGATGTGTTGGTTGGGAAGGACTGTGTTCATGTCAAGCAGATCAGGGTAGGTCAAATGTTGATAGAACGTTACGATTGACCGAAGGAGTTTTGAACCTGCAACCCCTGTTTCAAATTGCGCTCCAATCACTGCTTTTGTTCAACTGAAAATTAAATATTACTGATTGTCAGGTTTTTCCACTATTGTGCATATCTTTATTGATGAAGCCATTTTCCAACTAAGAAACACTGATTAAAGATTTTGATAAAAAAATTTAAACATTTTTTAAAGTTCAGTTGTGTTTATTTTTGATTATTTCCCGACTGTGAGCAGTTTGACTACAAATTGAGTCCTTTCAATTCTTATCGTTTGTTCCACTGAAGAATACGTCTTTAAGAAATACTGTCATTTAAAACTATTATTTTCTAATAATCACATAGTAGCATTCAATAAAGTGTTCAGTTTAGCATTTTGTAACATCAGTCAAACCATTCTATGATTTCGCAAAAAAAAAAAACAACTAACACGGTTAGTTATGTTCTTATGGTTTATTGAATTATTTGTTGCAAGGACATGTGATGGTGTAATTTTAACCTCCTCCCTTTACCCTTTGACATTCTTTCTCGCTAGGGCAATGTCACGTTAGCCTTCTCCATCCATCATCATGTGGATCAACATCTGGACTTCGTGGCGCCAGATCAGGAAGCAGTAAGTAGTTCAGACAATTTAGAATATGAAAGAGAAGAGGGCTTTAAGTGACTTTTTCAAAGCTCGGTTTTGCCTTTCTCTGACACACTCATGGCTTTCTGAGAGCTTGTTAAAGAAAACCCAAAAATGCTTGGACAGGACTCAAACCCATATATCAGATATTGTAAGCAAGTTACCTTGTAGAACACTACAGATTCTGAAATAACTCAACTGTACCTCAAACTTGAAAAGTATACTTCCAAAATTCAAAAATTGCCATTTTGTTACCTTTTAGAATCCTGCTCTTCTCTGGCTGCCCTTGTCAGTTTCATAGCTGATATCTGGTTAAACTCATTTGGAGAATACAACAAACCAAAAACTGGATGTATAGAAACAGATATTATATTGTTTTTATCCTTTGAAGTTTCAAAAACCGGCAAATTTGTTCACTTCTTTCAAACAGGTATATCGCATTTTTGAAACTAAACTCTTCAATTGCCATGTTGCATTTAGGTGAAGTGAAGTGAACAATTTGCTTATATACATGTACACCACCCTACCCAAGGGGGCTGGTAATGGCAGATCTCTCGGAGCTGTCATCGGATGGATAATTGTTTAAACCGTGACCTCAGGTCAACGCGTGCATTCTTATAAATTACCCACAATGCTTTACATGTCCTGTGAAATCATCATCATTCGGCTGCATTGCAGGCGACCACATTTTAAAAATCAAAATTTAAAAAGCCAAAATATACTTATGGACACGTAAGATGTGAAGCAAATAAAGTTACGGGAACATAAGATCGAAGCTGGATGGCTGCCATCTTATTCCATAAGCTGTGATCACTGGCTTGGTGGATTATCAAATTGTGCTGTGTAATGCGTCTTATATCTTTTAGTCTCTCTGGACTGTCAGTACCATTCATTCTATCTTCTTTTTTTTCTTCTTGACAGTTTGACATGTGGTACGACGGCATCAACGCGTTACTCGGCAAACCCATGATCAGTAAGCAGTTAGACAAGGATCTCGAGATGCTACTGAGTATGGAAATTAAGATGCGTCTGTTAGACACGGCCAACGTTCCCATCCCATCTGAACCCCCACCCATCCCCCCACCACCCCCAGATTACAACTTCTACTACGACTCGCTCTGAAATCAAAGTGTGACTTGAGTCCAAATTCCAGCGTTATGTAATGTCCGTGACAGACTTTCTAAGAGCTCAGTGACTAAACCTGAAATTTTTTTTTCTTCAAATCTTATACATGTATCCATCATCAAGTAATGGTCAAGGAGATTATAGGGCTTTGGGATTATTTTTCTGAATCATTAATTAGATATGGTTAATTGGTCCAGTCACGGACATTACACTTCCTTTCGTAACAATGAAATTGCCCATAAGTTCTTACCACAAAGACCAGAGTTGAGGGCCGGCCTGCGATTTTTTTTCCCCAAATGACATCCGCATGTGTTGTACGCTATGACGTTTTGGACTTGACTTCTCTTAAAGGGAATATACAACATTTGCAAGAATCGAAAAACAAAACTACCACCTTTTTACAAAATACCTTACTATGATGTTGGTAAATGACAATCTAAAGCATCCTGTAAAATTATGGCACCTGGTGTGAAGTCATTTTCAAGAAAAGTGGTATTTTGTATAAATTTCCAACAGTGGTCGGCCGACCACCATTGGAAAATCCCAACTATTTTTCAACTATTGCTTCAAATTAACCATTTTTTTTCCTGTCCAAATTTTGTTTGCTATTGGTTACATGTTCATGAACAGGTGCAGGCCAGCTAGACTGGTTCCCATACCTTACATTTCCGGCATCTATAAATTGATCCATATCATCTGTAGTGGAGTCAGGCAACCAGACTACTTGAACATTTTTGGTTTTCTTGGTTTTTCCAGCATTTTCGAACACAAAACTTCAAACATGTCAGTGTAGCAATATTTGATCTATTATACTAACCCCTCAAATAGTTCATTTCTGAAAAATTACAGCAAAAGCCAATGATGTACATTCCCTTTAAAACCATTAGAAAAAAATATAAAATTAGAAAAAAAAAAAATCTAATCAAATGTAATGAAATTCAGACTTTTCTTTCCCTTTTAAAAACAATCCTCCAAAGCCTCAGATTAGAAAAGAAAACAACAAATCGGCTAAAAATGGTGATTTGCGCATGAAAAGACTTCCAGCGAATAGCCTCTCTGAATCAATGGAATACAATTTTGGTTATGACTATGGCTTGAAATTACACACGAGTCTATGAGAAGTGGATGTAGCCGCTACCATAGACATGTGTAATTCATAGCCCAGTAATTCAGATATGGCCTTAGACTGGTCTCGGACCAGCGCTGCTCGGCTTGCCTTGTTTTATGTAAACAATGGGAGAGAGAATAAGAAAGTCTTAAAATAAGATATGTAATAGCTATTATCCAGGATTACTACGAGGATTCAGTTACTTTCGATTGCCAACATAAACAACCTCGAGATATGGTTTCTTAAATAAAATGCATTATTCAGTTTTTATTGTAACCAGGGAGTTTGTATTTCTCAGTGACATGGTATATATTTTGGTTCATACTTTGTACTTAATTACGGGAATACCCACCAGCCTTTGGTGCTTGGCACTTAACTTAAATCAGGTGTATTTTGTACATAGTTTTTTTTAAACAATATGCAGTCTTTTGTTTTGGAATGCAACTGGAATGAGTCGTAAGAAATGTTTGGGTAACTTTTGTAGATCCTTTTTCTATTTTCGTGTTCTTTGATACATCACATTAGTCTTTTTGAAGCAATATTTTTTTAACTAAGTCTGCATTTTTTTGTTATTTTCTTTTGACCACGAAGGGCTAGGACTCAATGTAAATTTTGGGTGCCGCATGCCGAATTTTTTTTTGTTAGTAGCTTTAATCAGCACGGAACTGACAACAGGGATTGTATTTCACACGGTAATACAAAAAGAAGTCAATATACTCAGATGCACATCAGTTTTTATTGAAATTGTATATTTACACAGTACATGTCTATCTAGTGTCAGTTGCCGCTTACTTTGTATGAAATTTCTCATGTAGGGGTGAGATTTGTCCGAATTTTTTCCTGATTTCAAAATTTTCTAAATCTGGAGTTTGTGAGGTTTTACCATAAAGGTCTCCACATCTTTAAGGTTTATATAGAAAAAGAGGATGCCTTTAGGTAAATACAAACATGTATCATTGACGCTGCATTGCTTTGTGACCCTCAAAATTTCTTCTGATTATTTTGTGGATTGTTCATTTTCCGCCAATCTTGCGCCTGCTCATTTGATAAAGGAGCACTTTGTAATGTGCAGGCCTGTTAGAAATACCACAAAGTGACACTCATTTGGGAATCACTGGCTCAAGTGTTTTTCGAAATGTGCAGAAGTTCCACTTTCAAACAGTTTTGGATAAGGGGTAGGAAGTTTCTGCGACTATAATATATTATTACTGATATTGTATCATGTAAAGACATGTCTGTGTAAAAAAGAAAACAGCATGCCAAAAACAGGAGAGAATAAACAGTGAAAAGTAACAACAAAACACAAATTTAGTATTATGGTTGTCAGTTTGTTTGATGTGTTCAGTTCGTGTCTGTTTTGAAAGTGGATAGTTGGCTTCTATTGGTTGCAAAATGAGATACGAGTCAAAATTGATGGGAAAATGTAGGATTTCACTGATCTTTTTTTTTTTTTTATGCAAATCGCCCATCACAAGGCCAAAGGCCACTCGAGGTGTGGGCTACAGAGGAAAGTATGGAGGAGCCAGCCCCTCACACTGAAACTAAGACAACACTTAAACTGAAATGGACTACCCTCGTTAAAAATTACAATAAATAAAAAAAAATTTAAAAAAGACAAGATAATCTAATCTCTTCACAGTATGAGTAGGGTTGGGATGGGTAACTAGTCCATTGCAAGGCTGAGAAGTGTCATAGCCAGGTTGGGCTCGAACCCTCAACCTGCAGAATTACCCATGGACTAGTTTGAGTAACTAGGACTCTGAAATCGCCTTTTTTAACATTTGGACATGGTCGGCCCAAATGTTATTCGCAGACCACAAATTTAATGCCCCAGACCATACGTACCGTCCACTATAGGCCTAGCCCTAAATGAATAGGTGCTTATTAATTATGTAAAATAAACTTCACATCTCCTTTCTACGTCTGTGTAAAATATTCCCTCCCCCGGCCCCGGCCGCTAGTCTATGGAATATCCCCTTGCATATAGCTAGGAGACAGACAAGTGCTCCGTTCATAACGGGTTATACTCGAGACTACCCTGCCCCCGACCACAGCAACAAAATAATTGGGGAATCCCCCTTTGGATTTTAATAACACCGTGTGGACCCTGCCACTAATTGGAGAGGGGAAGGTACAAGTTGAGGGATAATTATTCCCCTCTACTACCTGCGACGTAATGGACCCGTCCATGTATCATTTGACAATCTTGGAAATGCCGCAGACAGATCATGATCGGGTAAGAGCAGATTTTCATTATTTATTTCTTCATTTTTCTCGACTGTGCAAGATCCGATTTGTGCGAAGAGTGTTTAATAAAAGGGTTTACAGTTGATGGAGCTTTCAATGCATTAAAATTGATAGTTTTTGATGGAAATAAAATGCTTTCATGTTCAGTTGGTGACTAGACTGCATCTTGCGGGTGTTGCATTTACCGTACACAGGCGCGGCAGCTCCAGCAGCATGTGTAAAACACCATACCTCCATTGTAACACTAACACAGGGTATGGATGGGTGCGTTCGTGTTTCTGTCTGTTGAATTTTTTAAGATGGAAAATTGTAATCAAACTTTGTATGATCATGATGTACATGGTCATGGATATGATATCTGACTCTTATTTTCGCATTGGCAGCAACTGTTTTACTTTACTTTCTCTTTTTGCAATGCGGGCGACTCACAAGACAGTGCGCCACCGATAGTTTGCCGCGGAGAGTTCATTTTTCCCAGTGCATTGTGGGAGATAGTCGACGAATTCGCAGCGTGGGACAGTTGAAATTGTTAGTTTTCCGGTCACTACTATAGCTTCGTAAGCGTTTGATTCGAGGATCTGTTTGCCCTTTTCTTTTCTTTTTATCAATTTTTTTTATACGTGTTTTTTGGGGAAAATGTTGCAACCTGACGCCACTTTTTTCTTCATATATCATCTCAATGAAGGTCATTCATTGCAAAAATGATGATAAGACATGACTCTGGGACTGATTTCCAATTTTGTTAGGAAATACTTTTTGTACACAATCGCGGAAGTGGCGTCATCGGGTTGCAAAATGTTGGCAGAACGCTATGCCCCAATCTACATGTATGTATCACTATTAGCTCAAGTAATCCACTGACACTCATTCAAATGGGTCATGTTTTGCGACCGAAAACTTGAAAAATTGACTCTCCATGGCAAACTCTTGGTGGCGCACTGCATTGTGAATCGCCCATATTGCCAATACTCCTCGATAGATCGAGTATACCTAGCTTGAGAAACTCCAGCTCCAATGCTTGAATGTCGAATTCCCGATGAGCATTGCCATTGGAGCTGGAGTTTAGTTAAAGGGAATGTACATCATTGGCTTTTGCTGTAATTTTCAGAAATGAACTATTTGAGGGGTTAGTATAATAGATCAAATATTGTTACACTGACATGTTTGAAGTTTTGTGTTCGAAAATGCTGGAAAAACTAAGAAAAACAAAATTTTCAAGTAGTCTGCTTCCTTGACTCCACTAAAGATAAAATGGATCAATTTATAAATGCCGAAAAATTGTAAGGTAAGGGAACCAGTCTAGCTGGCCTGCACCCGTTCATGAACATGTAACCAATAGTAAACAAAATTTGGACTGAAAAAAAGTGTAAAGTTGGAGCAGTAGTTGAAAAATAGTTAGGTTATCCAACGGTGGTCGGCCGACCACCGTTGGAAATGTATACAAAAATCCAATTTTCTTGAAAATGACATCACACCAGGTGCCATAATTTTACAGGATGCTTTAGACTGTCATTTACCAACATCCTAGTCAGGTATTTCGTAAAAACTTGGTAGTTTTACATGTATTTTTCGATGTTTGCAAATGTTGTATATTCCCTTTAACCCTACCCTCAACTTGAGTACATGCATAATTTGTATACAGGTGTACATGTATGTATGATATTGTATCCAAATGATTCAGTGTTCCATTTTTAAAATGTGTAATTTGTAAACAGGCTGTTTTGTCAATATTTTTTGCACAGCTTATGAAGGAAACGGTGAATTAATGCTCCAATTTTGGTATAAAAATTAAAAATGGGACATCATTTTCTGAATTGGACATCAGTTCTCTGAGTGCCGAGGGAGAAGGTTTACACGTTTTTCTTAGGAACACATTTTTTCGCAATTTTCTACTTCTCTTACATATGAAAAATGTTTGAAATCCCTTTTTGGGGAAATTTGATTGAAAAGTGCACTTCTGTAAACATAAGTTTAACAACATTTTCAATGTGTTTCCCAACGCGGCAGACAGTTGAGGGCTCTGTTACTGTGATGTCATCTCAAGAAGACACTGTTCAGTTTTTTGTTGAAATTGTGAACTCAAAAATGTGCTTATTGACAATTTGTGAGAAAAATTTGATATTGGCTTATTGCCATGTACTGACGCAACAATGAATCACCAAAGAAAGAAACTATTCAACAGCGAAATATCCAAAATTCGGGTATCTTTTTGTGCAGAAATTGCTGAATACATTTTGTATAATGTGGCATTGAGGAAATGCCTGAAATGACATCACACTTTTGCTCATGAATATGGAAATATGCATTAGCATAAAAGCCAAAAAGGCACCAAAATACCCTTGAAAATGTCAAAACAAAAATTAAAAATATTTATGGGACACAAAGGTGCATTTCCAAGGATTGCATTAAAAAATAATGTTGCATGGGCCCTAATTTTTAAGGTGACACCCAAAACGTTTCCAAATTCGTACACGGTACACCTTCAGTTGCCGTGCTAAAACCCTGCATCAATTTCACTCAGAAACCAATATATTATCCTTGACTGGTTCCTGTGAGTGGCTCATTCCGTTATTAAATGGACGCCAATCCATAAAGTCAAATGGATTTCACGCTTGACCGCATCTAATATGACAATTGACTTTTATTGAGCTGTAACCGATCAAGTATGAACATTGGGTGAAATTTGCTGGTCATCCATGATACAATGTATTGTATCAGATATAATTTGTTATAATACAATAGGCTGAAAACAAAATAATTTATGATAACCTGACGTACCTCAATTTTTTGTGGCCAAATTGTCACCTCAAACTTTTTATTGCCACATTGGCCTCAAATTTAAAATAATATATATTTCGAAAATTACAATTTTTTCCTGATGCCAGTTTTGTATGCTTGTGGTTTTTAACCAGGTTTATTATAAAGAATACCAATAAAGGTACACAGTTACATGTACATGTACATGTACGTGTACTTAAAAGTAAACAAAGTAAGGATAAAAGACTGATAGCGAAACATTAAAAAGTTACAACCTACCTACATGTACATATATACGTGTACTTAATTTTTAGGACGTTACCGTAATCACACAATTTTCATCATACATGTACCGTAGGTTGCATCATCTTCAACCATGGAAAAACTGAGAGCGTGTGTTGCATTAATTCATAAATACCTGAGACAATTTACCAATTTCTATTGGTGGAGAGCCCGTCACGTGTATGGTTTTTACACCACTGGTTAAACACCGCTGCGTTCTGCGCCACATCGCGCAGTACAAGCTGCGCACGCGGGCGAGGCACATACCATACACATGACCAGAGGGGTGTTTCATTCAACATGAGGTAAAACTGTTGAACAAAAATGTTGGATGTTTGTGAATGTTTCACTTGTTTTGGACTTTTTTACCGAAAGGTTTATGAATGGGAATAAATATGTGCTTGGCCAGTAAGTTTAAATCTGGCTAGGGACCTGGACATGGATAATGACCGAGGCAAAATCTGCATCCCGGCCCCTAGCTGGTTTTAAACAGACTTGTGTGTCCCCTGCATGTTTGTTTCGTGTGCCTCGGTCTTTTACCGAACTGAAAAAGTCCTGGCTAAGGATGAAATATTTAATAGACCACTCTAATTCGTTTTATTTAAACAGACTTGTTTAAACCGTATTAAAATGAATTTATTCCCTTATGAAAATAGCACAGAACAATTTTTTTAAAGGGAAAATACAACATTTGCAAACATCAAAAAATAAAACTACCAAATCATTTTGAAATACCTTGCTGGACTGTTAGTGAATGACAGTGTAAAGCATCCTGTAAAATCATGGCACCTGGTATACTGTCATTTTCAAGAAAAGTGGTATTTTTTTATCAATTTCCAACGCTGATCGGCTGATCAGCGTTGGAAAAAACTGGCTTTTTTTTTCAAATACTGGCCCCAATTGACCATCGCACTTGTTTGCAATCGATTACAAACCTACATGTATGAACGGGTACGAGCCAGCTAGACTGGTTCCCTGACCTTACAATTCCCCAATGTATGTAAACTGATCTGTTTCTTCTTATATGGAGTCAGGGAACCAGACTACTGGAAAATGATTGTTTTTCTTGGTTTTTATAGCATTTTCGAACCCAAAACCTCAAAAACGTCAGTGTAACTATATATGCTATAAATTTCCAACCCCCCAATTCCATCCATTTCTGAAAATTACAGTAAAAGCAAATGATGTATATTCCCTTTAATAGTACTAATTATATATCTTCAGCCAGGGTTTTCCTTTATTCATTAGTGACAATAACATAAACGCTTATATCAACCCCATTTGAACAACAGAATAACAATGTAGAATTTTCTTTATCTTCGACGCAATTTTGTTTTCACCGATTTTGCCATTTACCGTACATGTACATGTGTGTAAACTATGCATAACGATGGACAAGAATTTCCAGTACTTACAAAAGTTGACTTTAATTTTTTTTTTCAGTGAGCTACCATTCTGTGTTTTTCCCCATTTCTTTGCTGTGGCAGAAATAAAACTGTTGCCATTTTTATTTTTTGTGATTTACTAGCTGTGTTCAGTGTTCAAGCAAAAGGAGACAGTCGTGTTCACACTGTCGATCGTGGACATCCTATTGTCCCTCTTTTGTTTGTACTTAAACATTTTAGAAAGACTCCCATAGGTTTTGTACACGACCCAAATCGCAGATGTACATGTATGCTGGGAGTTGTGGAGGATAATGTTCTTCTTTTGTTCTCTGGTATTTTTCCTCCACGGTTTGAATAGATGAACATGCCCATACTTACATACATGTACACATGTGTGCATGCTTTTGCTTGCGTCACAATACCATCAGAGCGCTTATTCCAAAATGTCTGTGAGACATGTCTGAATGCGAAGATATAGATGGGTCCATTAAGGAGCTATGTTCAATATAAATCAACATAACCGTCCTGTCAACACTCGTAGTGAGCTGATAATATATTGGCTTTTAAAGTTGTTTACATATGTCACAGGAGAATCAGTGAAATGCAAAAAAAAATGCTTATATAAATGTAGTACATATGAGTTTGTTTATGGTGTAAATCGAGGACACACACGTGCAACATCATCGGTGAGGACAGAAATGTGTACAAAACCAATGAGAGCTGTTGCGAAAAAGTACAAAGGAAAAGGGAAGAGGAACAATAGAAAATCCTCGATTTACACCATATAAACAAATGTGCCTACACATGTGTACGGGAAAAAAACATGAAAATCCAATTATCCTGCTCTACTAAAAAAAATTAACAGACAGGCCCTACAACTAAAGAAAACTGTCTGTTTAAATATTTAACACATGTATACTTCACTCTGGATGGTATTTACATTCTAAAAAAATATACTAGGTTTAGTAAGCAGTCCTGCATGGGACGCGTCTACAGTTTCCGTAATTTAAAATTTAAATTTGATATCCCGCATCAGAGGAGACAGAATTTCTGGAAATTTATTTTTGGGAGGAACTAATTTTCATATAAATACCACCGTGCGTGTGCAAATCCTGTTAATAATTAAAGTGTGTTTTTATTGGTGAATGCTACATGTAATAGAAGTGCTGTGCGCTATACACTCCATGAATATAAACAACTTGCCATTAATCCAAAAAACATAATTTATCAGAGAAAGTGATAAACAATTTCCACGGGGCTTCAAACGCTGCAGGTGTTTTTTTTACTCCATGGTTCAAATTCTGACAAGTTACTATCATGCATGGGTGAGATTGACACATGTTTGCGATGATTGTGCAAATTGTTCACGTTTTTGTACACGTGTCCCTTTTGTGATCATATTTTGGAAAATAGTTTTTTTCCAATGTTGCATAACTGTTTTTTTTTTATGAATTTGCTGAAACAACAAATTGAAGTGTGTGATTGTGATACATCTTTATAAAATTCATGAATTTACCGTACAAGCCAAAATTCCTCCCAGGAAATTTGATGTGTAGGATGTTGTGGGCATATACTACCGGTACATTGTACATGAAACATGCAAGCAGTACCCGTCAGTAGCTTGGGTTTTGGAAGAAGGTGAACAAATCTAAAGGGCCTGTGTAATTTAATTTTTGTTTAATTCAGTCCTTGTAAGTGCACCTTAAAGTTTGTGAGTTTGTGTCCCATTTCACCTTACTTTCAATTTTTTTTGCCATTTTAAAAGGATTTTGGTGCCTTTTTAGTTTTTATGCTGAACAATGCAATTTACATATTATACATTCATGAGCAAAATTGTGATGTCATTTCAGGCAGAAAACTCAATGTTACTGCTATTGCAGCACAAAAATTCGCCAGAATTTTGGATATTTTGCTCTCCTCAATTTTCTTTTCTTTGGTGATTTGTTGGTGATTCTGACACTGACGGTAGGCCAATGAGCATGGTTTTCTCACAAAATGTTTACAAAGAGCAAATTTTGGGTTCACATTTAAACTGAAAACCCCTAAACTGAATCGTGTCTTCCTGAAATGACATCACAGCAATAGCGCCTTCATTTGTTAGGAAAAACATGATCATTTTAAATGTTTAAAGAAAGGCACTTTTCAATTTAAGATTAACCAAAAAGGGATGTCAAACAGTTTTGTATACATTTAAGAGGAGTAATAGGTTAAATAGTGTGTTCCTAAGAAAAATTCATCGCATGGAGTCTTTAAATTATCAAATAGGTTGACCAAATTGTAGGCATACTCTACTTATTCTTTGTGCGCCGAAACATGTATACAAACAATGTATGTAGACCAATTGGCACGTGCTGTCACTAAAATATCACATACATTTGTACATGGAGGCCCCCTTTAATGGCGAAAGCATTGTGCTAGCTTTTGTTCAGATAATCCATTATGGGGCATTGGCTTTGCACAATAGCACGCACAATGTTTCTGCCATTGAAGGGGGCCTCGTGATCACCAAATGGGGACTACATGTAGTTTGTTTGCAAAGTGGGCAACAGGCCCTCAAGGGCGACTTTTCCTTAAGCAGGTGACTTTTTCAAGATGCAGGTGACAGAGGATGATGCCATCTCACCTGAGTAGTAGGCGAGATGAAGCCTCATAAAACTAGCTTTTGTGCATGATACATGTACATCTAACTTCCTGCCAAACAAAATGATGCAGATTTTGTCTCTAAAGTCATCAGAAATATTGACAATTGTTGGTTTCAAACACGTGCAAGAGTCATTCACCTTGAAGTTGTTCCAACGTCCGTTTCATCACCTTCTCCTCTTTCATACTAAAAAAAGGAAAAACTTGGAAAATAAGGTCTTACATCCCTCAGGGAACCATAGACAGGGAGGCAGGTGAAAAACAAGCTGTGAAATACGACAACTTGCGAGAAGCCACAGGGGAGGGGGGGGGGGACACACTTCACTCCGACACCTGCTTCACCTGAGGTGATCAAGATCCAGGACAACACTCCTCGTGTGTCTTCATCATTGGGTCATCAGCAGGAGATAGCCAACAAGGATCAGCAAGTTTTGCATTAATTGTGCATGTACCGGTATAGTGCCTTCACGGCCGTGTTTTATTTTTTTCTTTGATCGTCACGGATCATCACGGAACGTTCTAGGTTGTCAGATGTCTTAATTTAACTCAGGAGGTACATTGTACGTATGTATACTTATGTACTGCTTACATCGACTCTGCTACATGTATTTTACTAGACATGTCCAACGACTGTTATGATTGTTACCATTGTTAAGCAAGTTACTTGTACAAGAATGTTTTTATGATTCAATCATGTACATGTACATGTGCAGCTACACATTGCACATGTCATTAACATACCTTTTGCTTTTATTTTACAATAATTTTCCCCAAAATTTGTAAGTTACAATTTGGGTGAAAAGCACAATATGTACCGGTATGTAGAGAAATTCGTTCACAATTGTCTTCACATCGGCGGTTTTTATCTGTCGGTGATATTTTCAAAAGATTTATTTAATTTGTGCTAAAGAATTCCCAAATTTTGAAAAGGTCCTCCATGATAAATAATAAGTGATTCGTACACCAACGCAGTCTCCTTGGAAAATACATTGTAATTTGTCATAAAAATACAGTCCTTAAAACTTTCTGATTTCAGGCGTAGGCCTACGGTATTTGTACAGTGACAATTTCTAATTATGCAAAGCGGCTGTCTCATCAATCTAGATTTACAACAGCCTGCAATCTCATTTACTTCCGACAAACATGTATGTCTGTTTCCGTTTCCATCGTGTCACCTGCGGAACTATCAAATTAAAAAAAAAACTCTGGAAATTATTTGCCGTTGTTCGAGAAGGGATGAACAATTGCCTGCTTTGTAACATTAATCATTAAAATGGACACATGCTGGCGTGCCGTCTTCATGAAACGAGCTTTAAATATTACCAAATGCTCGAGTCATTGTAATATTGGAGGTTGTAAAATTCTCAATGGCTCTCTTCCTGATGTGCATAATACATGAAGTAGTACACGCACACGCCGGTGTGCATTTACTCTTCACTCAAGAGATGCTATTGTTACCGGTGTAGATATATTCATATTTATGTAGGGTTTTAGTAATCTAGTTGGAGCGATTACATCGTGTAGTCATTACCGGATGCAATTTTGATATTCAGCAACGTGCTTGCAGCGTGCACATGCTGTGTCCATCAAACGAGAGCCTGGCGCTTTTGACCGCTCGGAGGGACTGTCAGTGGAATGCATATATGACGGTCTGGCTGGTTTGCTGCACGGGTACATGCACATGGGACTTTAGCACGACGTCACTCTATTAGGTTTGCTTATGGCCACATATGAGATCGTACGGTGACTAGTGCCGCTGTGAAATTTCAGGTACATATGTACATATCATTCGAAGTGTGAGCCACACAGTAACCCGTGTTCAGATTTAGCTGTTGTAAATTTAAATTGCCTGCAGTTTTCTGCAATAGTGCACGTACGTGGTCAACATGTGCGTAGAGAAGTGCGTGTCACTTTTATCTCACTGCTTTCATATGTGTATTCATTTCCAGACTGTGTGAGTTGTGTACTCAGTTTGTATTCATATGTTTGAATTGATTCGATACGGGTAGCCTGGCACTGGATTGGGTGTGTATGTGTGTGTGGGAAGAGGCTCGTGACAGGCTAACGTATACGATAGTGTTTACACCATACTTGCGTACATGCAGGTGAGTAGATGTGGCAGTTTCTCGGATCTAACAGTGGAATATTTTATGTACTGATAAGATTGTGTTTTCCTTTGCGCAGATGATGTTGGACAGCCGCAACTTGCATCCGTCGTCAATGGGCTGATCACTTGGACCAATCACAACACCCGATGGTGTAACGGCACGACCCCCGGGCTGACCGCGGCAAAGGAGCGCGTAACGGCGCCCTCGGGGCCCACAACAACTGGTACCCAATGAACGGCGGGCGTTTTGATTTTGACGATGGGGGTTCCTACTGCGGCGGTTGGGAAGAAGGCAAGGCCCACGGCCACGGGGTCTGCACGGGGCCGAAGGGTAAAGGGGAGTATAACGGATCCTGGCACTACGGCTTCGAGGTGACAGGAGTCTACACGTGGCCGAGCGGGAACACCTACGAGGGGCATTGGGAGCACGGCCGACGTCATGGGTTAGGGGTGGAGAACAAAGGTCGCTGGGTGTACCGCGGGGAGTGGACGCAGGGATACAAGGGGAAATATGGCGTGATACAGAGCCTGGCTAGTGGGGCCCGGTATGAAGGCACGTGGAGTAGCGGGCTACAAGACGGATACGGACAGGAAACGTACGCCGATGGAGGTAAGCAATGAAATTAATCATTTGCAGCACGGACCGACAGTCTCATGACATATTACCAACTTGCATATTTGGATTGTAGGCCTACACGAAATACGTCACTTCTTAATTAATGCGCTCCACATATGCTGTACATGTATACATTTGTATGTCACTTCATAGTACAACAGGTAAAATATTGCATAGCATTCACGGCAAAATGTCATTTGCTCTGAGTGCTAATAGTACGTGACTGCATAATATTAATACATAAAACATTACACCAAACTTGGTTTATTACATGTACGTGTATGAGTATAAACGCTGAACAAAGCAGCCACATGTTGTACACACATTGATTGAAACTGTTGTGTGTTGACATGGCATTGTGTAATGTACCATTTCATCTTTCAGTTACCAGTACAACAGTGAAAAAAATTCTAGAATTGCTTAACAAATGTACCGTTGTATTTTCTAAGCACAAAACCGCAGAGAACCAGTGAAAGTACACAGAAAAAGGTGGCATTTTAGCTAGTCACTTGCTTCTGCTTAGCAAAACTCCTCTCTGCCGAGCAAATTTTAGTTAAAGACTACATGTAAACTGATTATTGCTACACCGTAGTACATGTACATGTATGACCAAAGCGTAACAAGTACCAGCAAATTATTCTAGTTTTCATATTGAGAGCCTTTGTCAAAGACTATAAATTTCCAGTAAAAAAAGATGAAAAGTACACAGTTGAGTTTAAGTTTAGGATGCTGGTATCTAGAGCTTCACTCGTAACATATAGTGCAATTGACTGAGCTTTTCAAGCAATAAATGTTGTGCTACATGTAGGTGCTCACGTACACGGCACAAGTGGATAAAAAACAATAAGCCGTCACTGAAATTTTTGGCTGACTAAATACAGTGGCAAGCGGGAGTGTGGCCTGATGGTTAGAATTTGTGACTCATGATCAGAGAGCCAGGGGTTCCAAACCAGCTGCTGGCCATATGTTGTGTCCTTGGGCAAGCCGCTTCACCCCCATTTGCCTCTCTCCACTCAGGAGTACAAATGGGTACCGGCAGTAGCTGGGGAGTTACATGTACCTTCTAGGGACTGGCAGAAATATTCTCAGTTATTTCATGCCACTGAATCCCGAGATACACGTAAACACCAGCCTGATGGGCCATATATTACTTCAAAATGTGGGAAATTATTTTGAATATTCAGAGACCATTGTGATTTGAATTTGTTTCGACAAAAACAAGAAACCATACATGTTATATAGTCATCGTTATAGGCATACATGGAAAGTTCAAACATCTGTTGGACAGTGTCAATTAAAAGGTTTCGCGTTGAATCGGACACAGTTCATTGTTTCACACAGGTTTCATCTTGATAATGGTATCAGTGTACAAAATAAATACTCTAAACACCGGTACATTGAGTGTATGTTGGAATATTGTGGAGTGCAGTCCAAACCCAATATTACACTTTTAGAAAGATTTATGAATTTAAAAAACAATTTGAGTTTACAATCTCGAGATTTCTCAATTTCTTGCTGTAATGTTACAAAAATATTTCCTCACAGAAGCAAATTGGCTTTTCTATTTTTTTCCAGAACTCCCTCATTAAAAAAAAAGAATACACGGTATCAACATCATGCATGCAACCAACACCACACTGTAGACACGTCCGAGCCAATTACACTCATGAATACAATGTACATGTACATTAGGCCTACTGGTACATATGTACGTACCACGGATGAAAGATTTCACATGTTGCAATTACATGTAAATATCCCTATTGGTTATTGTATGGTTCTCGTACTTTTTGCACCTGAAGCAGTCAGTCAGTGAAAAAAAGAAATCAGAATTTTTTTGGGCATTTGCGACCGTACAAATTTGCGACCGTATAGATGGCTAAATTAAATTATGCCCAGTGTGAATTGTCTCCAGTTTTTTTTTTCAATGAGTTTTTCATTGGGTTTATCATGAGTTGATATCACTGAATAAGATAATAAAACCATATTTGGAAAGATGTGTACAGGTACATGTACATGTAGTTGACTGTACATTATATGTGCACCAAGCAGCTCACGAACGTGTAACGTTTTGGCTGTATAGTGACAGCCATGAGTTGACATACCAGTAAAGGTACATGTTTACTCTAGACATAATGATGAAAGCTGGCAACATCCTCTCATCTTCTTGGCAAGGAAAAACCATCTGGTATTCGTTTTGAATAGTTTTTCAAATAACACATTTGTTATTTTTGTACATACATGTAAGGCCAAAAACGCTGTGTTTTTCGTGACCCGACTGACTCTAAAATTTTAGGGGCTTAAAAACGGCATATCCCACATCACAGCAGTCAACAATTGTTTTGTTATATCATACCAATAACTCAAAAAGATAAATTCTTGTAACTTGCTGTTTGAGAAATAAATGAAATCACTGCGATGTAACCTTTGATAACTGAAAGTTTGGATGTCCTGCCGGACATTGCAGTTCTCATTGCACAAGTTGTGTGCTGGTAGGTTCCATAGGTGCGCGCAACGCATGCAATGAACACAGTGTACTTGTGATATATCACTTATCTCCACCTAAAAATGGATATATACAAGTGTGTGACATGCGTTTTTAGACCTGACGTGTACGCGACCTTTCTAGACCGTTGAAATTACAGTAGGCCTATCCAAGCACATGATATACATGTACAATACCAATGTTCAAGTACCCGGCATGTACAAAAATATGTTAATAAAAAAAACAGGGGGAAAAACACCTCCTAACCCATTCTTATTTTGCCAGTGTTACCAGAAAGACAACATTTTATTTATGTGGCCTAATGATGACGTATAAACCATGCAACTGGTGTAGTATTGATGGCTTTCATTTATTGATTGTCCTCCCCTTCTGTGTCAGCCGCTAATTAGTTCTCCTATTGTTGTATGAACGGGTCAATTATCACCCGGCAATAAACGGCTCAAGAGGTTGGTACTTGATCACTTGGAACCAGGCAAGTTATATTTCGTAGTTTGTACGTGTACATTGTACATGTTCATGTACTGCACACATGTACACGAACACTTTGTGCTGCGTTTGTTTATGGTGTAAATTGAGGACACACACGTGCAACATCATCAATGAATCAAGGACAGGGACCAAATCGAGGACTCCTTGGTTAGAAAACGTGAGAGCTGTTGCAAAAAAGTTAAGAGTATACATGTACATGTATTTATAAACAAAGGAAAAGGGTAGAGGAACAATAGAAAATCCTCGATTTACACCACAAACAAATGTGTGTGAGTATGTATGTGTACATGCTGACAATTTAATGCATGTATGTTACAATTTATGCATCATATGAAATATTGAAAACATCTTTTTGTATTCAATTTTTATTTAATTTTTGTTGTTATTACATGGTAAAAGTGAAATTACCAGACAGTTACAAAAATAAGTCAAAATGTCTCTCTACATAAAATACTTGCACAGCAGTCTCATTTTATCATTATTTGTGCATAAAAATTAAAATATAGAATTTGTAAAATTGAAAAATTGATCTGGCAGTGAGATATTTCTTATAACATGTACATGTATAGAAGCTTGCAATGAAATGGCAAAATTAAGAAAAGAATTTTCCACTTTCATAAATTTAGGAAAATGTATATGTTCGGTCAAAAAATAAAACAAATAAAAACAGGCCTCACTTTTATTGGACACCTCAACAGTCAAACAATTTATAAGGAGCTCTGCAGATGTCAAGAAATTCATTCCAATTCAGTTACGTCCCTGTGCTTGATGCTTGACTGCTCATGAATTACATCCCGTGTCTCATGTACAAGTCATTAATAATGGACTTGTAAAGAAAGAAAAAAATGTACACCATTGCCCGGACGTCAGAAGAAAAAAAAAGGTTCTAAATGAACATGTTGACAATTTACCAGGAATTCCTTCTGAAAAATGCAAGCCAACAAATGATTCATATATTACACGTGTGCGGAATGCACAGCAGCACATTTGACATCCACAGAGTGATAAGTGAGGCAGACAAATGAAAGTTGAATGTTTTTGTCACGGACGTTTGACGTTGGCCTGTTTGTAATCCACATTTTTTTTTTTTGGACTTGGGGATGAGCTGCATTTTTTTAATGAGTGGTCTACGTGACACGCAGGATGGAAGCAATCCTGTGACGCGGTGTGGATGGCTCGAAGTCGTCCAAACAACTGCTTCTTATTTCTCCTTGTTGATTGGAGATCAGTCGGTAGCAGAGCAGACATTGCGAGAAAAGTAAATAAATACCGGTAGTGTTGGAGATGGTGCAGGAAAATAGACATCCCTTTTGCCTTTGAGAAATTATGTCTTGCTTTGGACCAAACGTTAGGCCAGCTAATTTTGTTGATTGAAATGTATATTTCACTTTCAGGTCAATCCAGTCAGTAGTTTGTAGCAGTTTAATTCATTCATGAATATAACTATTGTTGAAGACATTGCAAGAAATATACACAAATATTGTTGGAAGCCTAAATAAATGCAGCAACGGGTTTAATTATAATGTCAATTATCATTATAATTGTCATTTGTGTTGTGTCTTTGGCGCTTTGTCAATGTTGTCATTGTGATTGTCACCATCATTCATCATTGTCCTTTTTATTGTCAAAGGACATTGACAATTTATGACCATAACATTTAGAAAGCCATGTTCTTTCTCAACAACTTATGCCCAGTCCCAGAATCTAGTCAAATGTCTTTTTAAAAAATGTTAACAGGTTTTGAAATTCTAAGATTCATATTGTTTAAATAGTGAGACACACTGTTCGAGAAAAAGAAATCCCACAATTTACCATTGATGGATACATGTGCATGCATGTAGTAAAAAAAATCACTTACAATTTGTTACCATGGTTACAGAGGAAACATCACGAAGAGAAATTTGTAAGCGAGAATAGAATTTATAATTTGCAAGCCCCTTTAAAGGCAAACCTCTCATCCGACTGCAAACATACCATTCATTGATCAGTCAGTTGCCGT